TGTTCCAAGACAGTTTAGGTGGCCTTCAACCTTTCAGGTAGCAATAGAGCTGATTAAACATTTATACCCCCCAGAGACTCCTAGAGGAGATGCTATGCTTATACCAAGTAGTTCATTGTCTAAAATGTCACCTGAAGCTTCCTTTTCAAGAATCTGTCATTCAGACCTGCCATGAATTATGAAATAGAGTAATCTCTCTGCAGACATTTGCAGGAGTAAAAGTGGAGCTCCTTGTGTGTTGTATTTCATGACTTTCCATCTATGATCAAGGAAGGAAGAGGGTTAGTCTTTCAATGAGTAAGATCTCTCTCTAAGTAATAGTCATTATTCTATTTTGAAAAATTGACTCTTTTATTTAACAGAACTATGACATGCTTATTATGTGCTTTCTCACTTGTTTGTGAGCATTTGTTGGGAAAAACATAAGAGAGAAAGAGACATCTGTTCTCCAGTTATATAATCTAATCCAATCTCCCAAACCAAGAGGTGGCACATTTGCCTAATGCTCTTGATCCATATATCACCCCCTTATTTGTACATCTTGATAACCATTTTGACAGAAGTCTCACCTGGGGTCAGTTTCTAATTTGGGCTGAGGCAGGGGGGTGATAAGGAGAAGACCAATCAGTTCCTACTCTATAACATTACTGTCATCCCAAATCAACAGATACTCCTCCAAGGGTGCTCAGTGAACCTTAAGGAAATTCAAGTCCAGAGGTGGGGGTGGACAGGTCTGTCTTTCAGAAGGTGGTATACCTCTGTTGGTAGGTAATCCAGATGGTGCAACCTGCCATGGGGAAAAATGCTTAACATTAATCCTATAGACCTCTAAAGAGAGACGACACCTGGTACTTTGTTTCTCCTCAGACATTTTTTCATCTAGGTTCTTTCCAGTCCTTGGAGACCCACGCTGAGTGCTATAGACAACCAGGACTTTAGACTCTGATTTTTCAAGATACACAACATTCTTCATAGGCCACACAAAAAGGTTCCAATTTCGAAACCCCACTAAGCAAACTGGACCTCACCTTAAACTTACCTGGCAGGTTTAATGAACTGAAGTACTCAGTTGGACTTACAGCTGAAATGCCCTAATATGAGAAGAAGCAGGTGACTGCTATCCCAAGGTCATAGATTCAGAAGTTGTAAAGATGGCCCTGGACCATGCAGTGTTTCCGCTGTTGTGTACACGGTCACTATGGGTTGGAGTCAACTCAATGACACCTAACAAAAACAACATCAAACGAATTACCATGTACTTCATGGGGTTGATCTATAATGTTCTCGAATAAAAGTTTCATCATATCTCTAAAGTAGACCAGGGGTATAATAAACCATAGATCTATGAATGTCTTTTGAGATCCGATTTAATAATATCCCTAATCTAAGAACAATTAGTTCCTATGCCATGGCCCTATTTGATACTTGCTCTCATGGAAAGATCACTGAAGATATGGGTGCCCTAACAAAGTGTGGTAAAGAAATAAAATGATACCCAGGTGTCAGAAAGAATAGCATCTGGGGTCTTAAAGGCTTGCCTTGAAACAAGAAACCATGAACCTCTCAGGACCAGGGGTGACAGTGGCGATACCAGGAGGGAAAGGGGGTGTAGAAAGGGGGAATGGATCACAGGGAGCTACATATAACCTCCTCTCTGGGGGACGGGCAGCAGAAGGGTGGGTGAAGGGAGATGCTGGACAGTGTAATATAAGATACAATAATAATTTATAAATTATTAAGGGTGCATGGGGGAGAGGGGAGGAGGAAGGGAAGGGGAGGGGCAAAAAAAGGAAAATTAGCGGGTTCCGGGAACCCAAGAGGCAAGCGAATTTTGGGAATGATGAGGGCAACAAATGTATAGATGTGCTTTACACAATTGATCTATGTATTGTGATGAATTGTATGAGCCCCAATAAATTGATAAAAAAAAAGAAAGCACATAAATATTTCACAATATATAATTACATATTGTTTTGTGATTAATCATTATGCTTTAATTATGTTCAATTTGTAACAATGAAAATACAGCCTGTGAAGGGAGACATCGGACAGGGCAAGATATGACAAAATAATAATTTATAACTTAACAAGGGTTCATGAGGGAGGGGGGAGAGGGAGGGAGGGGAAAAATGAGGACCTGATGCCAGGGGCTTAAGTGGAAAGCAAATGTTTTGAGGATGATGAGGGCAATGAATGTATAAATGTGATTTACACAATTGATGTATGTATGGATTGTGATAAGAGTTGTATGAGCCCCTAATAAAATTATTTTTTAAAAAAACAAGAAACCATCTAAGTGAAGTGATAGCTAATTAACAAGGAAGAAACACACTGGCTAGCGTGATCCAAAGATTCTAAATCTTAAAATACAAGGTTGGAGGAGGGAATGATATTAGAGCTTAAATTCTGAGCACCCAGATTTCAGAAGGTTATGGATGATTGTAAAAGCCCAAAATTCATTTGTAGGGTAGCCACTTGAATTCAGCCTCTGGTGAATCCTCTCTGACCATCGACCAGGAACGTGAATGGCTATGCTATCCAACAGAGTACGCCGGAAAGTGGGCGAATTCAGATGTAGTTAGGTTAAAATGTAACCTGATCATTTGCTTTCCTTTTTGATCCTTTTAAAATTTGTTCTAGTTTTTCTTATTTCTTTTTTGTGTGTGATCTTTTTTCTGTTTTATCTTGTTATTGCTTGGTGTTTTTTTCCTGTTTGCTTTTGTATATTTTTCTCTAGATGAAATCCAAGACAGGTAAATCTATAAAAACCATAACTAGATTAATACTTTCTTGAGGTGATAGCAGGGCAGAGGAAGGGAGCGGGGTGGGGGGAGCAAAGCAGATCTGGAGCTAGTAATAACAAGTATAAAGAAGAAGAAACTGTGCTAGAAGTCATTGTCTTGGTGATTACACAACTCTAATATATTTAAACTATTGAGCTGCATGATATGTGAATTACACGTTCAAAAGCTGTTTATATTAAAAATAAATATATGCATATATATATGCATATATATCTATATACTCGTATATACATATATATTTTTTAAAGAGAGAGCAGTACCAAAAGAAAACACAGTAGCTCACAAACACTGCCTGAGAAGCCCCTTGCGCTCAAGCTTGATGGGCTGAAACACACCAGGGAGCTGGTTGGAAATGCACACTCGAGGCCCCACCCACTAAAGATTCTAAATCTGTACATCTGTGGTTGCGCCCTTGGAATCAGCATTTTAACAAGTGATCCAATCGATTCAACTATAAGTGGTCTTTCATTGCACAAGACAATAACAGGATGTGAACGTCAAAATCAGAAACCTTGAGGGGAAACAAAGCCGGCTGGGGCTACACGTTGGTTAACCGAGAATCACAGTGCTCAGTGGGCCAGCCCCAGGTCTTCCAGCTAATAACACACGGGGCCAAATGGATGTTTTCTCCATATTTGCAAAATGGTCCATTTGGAAATCACAAGAGCAAGCTCCATTTACCTGAGAGATAGAAAAAATGTGCTGGCAGGGTCAAGGTTGACAACATTGCAGTTACCATGACAACGGTAATCAGTGCCAAGGATTGACTAGAGAAAGCGGTGGGGAAGAAAGAGGAGGTGGAGCGGCTATGCCAGAGAGCACTTGGTGTGTTTAAAAAGGCCTGCTGTATCGGTGCAGTCCACTGGATACCTACACTGTGACGACGGGCTCAAAAGGAAGAAAAAGGCAGGCTGGGCTCCTTCCAGGACACCTTGCAAGGGAGCCGGTGTCCCAGGGAGCATTATTTCCTTGTGTCTTTCCACTTTGTTCCCAGTGTCTCTGAGGCTTCCTCAAGTGCTGAACAAATGCATCGAAAGCAAAAGCAAATGCAATACTGAAATACAAGGAAGATAAAAGACAACTCCACAAAGCGACTACCACAGACTTGTATTTAATTTAAAATATTATGCATGTTGTTGCATTTTCATGGAAAATAGTGAGTTAAAAAACACCAACAGTGTTAGTTTTCAGAAACACTCCCGCATCCCCCTCTGCCACCTACTGTCTTCCTTTGTCGGTGGTCCTAACCCTGGAAAAGAATCCAGGGTTCCCTGGAACTTCCTTGAGGCTCCTACCTCCAGATCACCTGGAGTGAGCCGTTTCCTCAGTGCTCTGCCATCAAGGGAACAAGGTGCTCACCAGCTTTACCTTCCTTGCAAACCACTGAAAGGTGTTTGCATGAAAGCCCAAAGCAGGTGGGACAGATCTGAAAGAATCTGGAGCCCTTCCTCCGTCCCATCCTGCTTTTGAGCCCTTTGAAGTGTTGGTGACCTCGTGGTGAACACTGGTGCCTTCCGGTTTCTAAGGTCATTTAGGAAGTAACCGTTCCCTGCCTGCATATTAGTGTCCTGAGACCCTCTAGAAAACTCCTCTGAATGCCTGTTAGGGAGACACTGCCATATAGTGTTTATATTCAAACACACAGAAACACAGGAGGCCCCATGCACAATACCATCAAATAAAAGAATACATATTGGTACAATACAACCTCTGGCATCACTGGCTCAAAGGCAGCCACGTGAGTATTTGCAAAGTCCCCAGGCTAAGAAAAGAAAATACAATATAAAAATGGAACTAGTAAAGATCATTTCAGTTATAATTTCTTCATAGACAAATGCAAGGTGTGTACAATACAGTCCTCTCCCTCCCAACCTCCTGTCCTCTCTTTGCATTATAGCATTCCCTAACTTAACTCCTTGACCCCACATTGTAATGCTGCATCCCCTATTGCTCCCAAGTGATGCTTTTCCAAAAATTGGATCTGATGTGACAGAAACATCCCAGCTCTGAGTTCCTTCTCATTTGCTTCAAATTGTAGTACACTTAATTTGGGTTGTACATCCAGTTTTATATTAAAGAGAGATGAATTCCCCCCCAACAATACACAAACAAACAAAAATAGCTGGTTGTCAAAACGTTAGAATTGTCTCAGCTCTTGGAGATTGGAGAATGGTCGTTCTTCTTCACCATGAACTCTCAATTGATGGGAATAAAGTAAGGCTGAAATTGCTTTTCACATTCAGGCTCAGTTGGGGGCATTTTCACATAGACCCCTGTAGTAAGAAGGCTTCTTTTCTTCAGCTGCCAAGATACATTCACACAAACATGCACATACACAAAAAGATAGTAATTAGCATAAAAAATTACAGAAGCCACTTCTAATCATAATAGGAGCTCACAAATACTGGCTTCCTGCCTGTTCAAAATTGAATGTTCACTACATATAGAATCATAAACCCCAGGATATTTTCTGGATTCAGCCATTAAAATTCATTTTAAGTAAATAACTGTGCTATTGATGTAAACAGTAACTACTTTCCCTGACTAGAAGATAGGAAAAAGATATTTGGAGCAATATTCAGAAGTAACACATAATACTTAAGGTAATTGACTGGCATTTGTGATGGACTAGCATAATGCAAAATGAACTTTAATTACACTGTTTAAGAGCTGCGTTTCTCAACTCTTCATATTCATTTTATTACTTTTCCTATCTGCTTCAGTCTCTCAGTTTTTATTACCTGGAATGACAGTAAATTGAGGTCTATTCTACCAGACTGTGTGACAGTTTGTAGTAAATGGGACAGAAAGAACCTGGATCGAATGGACGTGATTGTTAAGCTGCAATGATCTTGGAAGTGTGTGTGTGTGTGTGTGTGTGTGTGTGTGTGTGTGTGTGTGTGTGTGTGTTAAAAAGAGGCAGACTGAACACAAGAGATAGAGCTAAGAGAAGAGAATGCCAGCTTTAAGCAGAGGTGGCTAAGAGGAATAGTCAGACAGACAAATTGACGGCAAGTTTGATTCCATACCTCTCCCTTTTTCAACATCAACAACTGGAGGAACAAAATCTAAGGAGCAGAGCTAGACGATGAGGCACAGTATCCCAGGTAAGCAGACGGAGTGACAGGGAACCACGGTCAGGTGTCGTGTTTGTGAGAGTAGGCGTGAGGAGAGTGGTACCAAGAGCTGTTTCCCAGGTAAAAAGAAGGCACATCAATGGGAGAATGAAATCCATCCAGATGATCACTTCTATAAGCATTTTGCCCGACCTAGTTTGTGCTTTGGGGTTACTTCAGGAAACTGAAGCACATTTGTCATGAAGGCAAAGAACAAAAACAGCTGCCCCGTGTTGTTCAAACCATGACTCAAACTGAAACCCTATTCAGAAGCACACAAACACTCAATGTCAAACACATCATCTAAAAGGTTAGTCATCCTGAAACCCAAAAGGCCAATGCCAAGGATTCTAGTGTGCTCTTTACCACTGCCCTTCCTCTTTGGTATGTACGGCTTCAGCTCAAGAGAACGGGACGCTATCATTGGGTCCATTGCTCTCACTGATCCTTTGGTCCATCGCTAACCTTCAAAGTCAGCATCACACTCACCATCTTGCTCAAAGAAACAGCTGTGAGGAGGAAGCTGTAAAAAAACAAGCCCGAGCTGATGGCCGCAAGGATCCAGATGAGGAATTCAAAATCTGGACACGGTTCCGGATCTGCAACCGAAAACACAGCAGAGTATATATGAGATGATCGTAGAAAAAAGTGGGGGGTGGAGGGCGGGGGTCCTTCTTCCCCCATTGATCATAAAAGGGAGCAGTTGGAGCTTCTCAAACTTGATATCTGCCCCCAAAATATATCTCTGCCCTATAGGGAAATCTGGTGATTTGAGGCCGCTTCCTGGAATGTCATATGGAAGTCACAAGATGTGAGTCCTTTTGTGTGTAGCCTTCATGATAGCTAAGCTCCCCGAGGGAGTGTCTCTACTTGTGAGCAGAGAAAAACTCCACTTCTCTCACTCAATTTTATTTTATGATCAGACTGCTCGTGGGGGGAATGGCAGGGCACCGTTAAAGCGAACCAAGAGTTTTTCCCACAGTCCTGAGCAATGAAGCATCTGAAATTAAGTAGGAAAATGATTCTCCTGCTGAGAAAAACAATAAGGTGAAAGATGTCAGCTTCGTCAAATGCTCACCAATGACAAAAATCTGGGTTCCGTTGCCCATGCCCATGTAGTAGGGCGGTGGGTACATGAGCTCCACCTTGCAGATGTACATCCCGGTGTCGATGGCTGCCAGCCCGCGCATGGTGAGGTTCACTTTGTTCCCACTGGAAGTGCCAGTGCAGGTGGAATCATCAAGAAAAGTCAACTCCTTCTCCATCTCAAACGTGCAGGCACAGACTTCTGTCATCTGGCTGTTGACCTGCCGCAGAACTGTCACCCGCACCTCTTTGGCTTTGCATACGAACTCATACTCACACACAAAGCTGGCGACACCCCGACTGCTGGCCAGGACCACTGAAGGCTGGGACACATGCAGTGCTACCACGGAAAAGGGAAAGGAGATTTCATGAAGTGATTCTTATCCAGGACGAGTCCCAGCCAAAGCCTCCGGTCAGGGCAGGTTCATCTTCGATGGGCAGGACCCATCTTTACCTGCCCTCCCATCATCTTCCCCCCTTCAACAAACCCATCGTTTTCCCTTGTGACTTCCCTCCTCCAAGCACCCCAGATTCCTCCCCCTCTGTCTCTTCCAAAGCTTTCTATTAGCCGTCTTCCAGAAAATTTGCCAAACAAAAAGACTGCTTCCTTATGGGAAATAGTTTCTTGACCTTAGATGGTTGTAGCAGAATATTCATGTGACAAATAAAAGACCTGAAGAAGCCATGAAGCATGAGCTGGGGCAAGTCACACCTCTCCTGTGCCCTTTGTTTTTCTCAGATATGCAAAGTGGGTGTTATATCCAAGTTGCTTCCTCTCTGATAAGAGGAATATACTAGCGCAGCTTCAGGGGAGGTCTAAATGTTCAAGTCCAGGATCTTGCCTCAGTCCTCAAAGCCTACTTCCTGGGCCTCTGCCTATTTTTCAACGGTCTGATACCGCCATCTCCCAGGAGGAACAGCTGAGCCCTGGCTGAGTGTGCTGACCAGCCCTTCCCTCGATTATCGCAGAAAGGTTATTCTGATAGATGAAGGAAGCCACAGAGCAGAGGGCACCGGGTCGTTTCCTCCCCAGCCTGAGGCAACCCTGCTGTTAATTTCTGTGGGCTTCCCCTGCCACCACCATTACCTCTTCCGCCCTCACTCTGTGCTTCACTCAAATGCCTTCATGTGTCTGTGGGGTTTTTCCCCCCCCCTCTGGCTTCTACAGGATAAGAGAAAGAATTCTCCATACAAAAAAGACACATCATTTTTAAAAATGGCTTCATATCAAATCATCTCCAAACTGGCCTTCCTATAACTAGCCTGGCCCCTTTTTAGTCCATCAAGTGGCAACCAGTAATCATCCCCAAACTTGGCTTGAATGGTGCTACTCATCTGTTCAAACCCTCTGATGCCTTACTCACCATTTCCTGCAAGAACAAAACAAATACCGCTCAATGTCCTCCATGCAGTCTGTTTGCAACCTACCAATCCAGTCTTAGTTACCAAGATAGCCCTTCCTGCTTAGGGGTCACCCTGAGCTTAATGACTCCAGTCGCTCTCTGCAAGCACTCAACTACCCTTAACTACATCTGTCTTCAGAGCAATGTGGAAGAAGCCACAGGTGTGGTTAATCCAGCAGCTTGGGTTAGTGAGACAAGTATCATCTTGACCATCCCTCATCTTTACCTAAAAGAATCTTACCTATCCTTTAGTTTCTATGCCACCTTCTCCTTAAAACTGGATTACTTTAGGTTGAATCACGTTCACAACTTCCAGAGCATCCTTGGTACTGCAAGAACGCCATTGTGGTACCTACCATATATACTCGAGTATAAGCCGAAGTTTTATTCAGCACGTTTTGTTGTTGTTGTTGTTATTGTTCTTTTATTTTTGCTGGGGGTGAGTGTTCGTTGTTGTTTTTTTGTTGTTGTTCTTTTAAATCATTTTATTGGGGGCTCGTACAACTCATCATAATCCATACATCCATCCATTGTGTAAAGTACATTTGTATATTTGTTGCCATCATCATTCTCAAAACATTTTCTTTCTGCTTGAGTCCTTGGTATCAGCTCCTCAATTTTCCCCTCCCTCTCCACCCCCTCACGAACCCTTGATATTTTATAAATTATTATTATTTTGACAAGTCTTACACTGTCCGATGTCTCACTTCACCCACTTTTCTGTTGTCCGTCCCCCAGGGAGGGAGTTATATGTAGATCCTTGTGATAAGTTCCCTCTTTCTCCCTCCACCCTCCCGGTATTGCCACTCTCACCACTGGTCCTGAGGGGTTCATCTGTCCTGGATTCCCTGTGTTTCCAGTTCCTATCTGTACCAGTGTACTTCCTCTGGGATCATGATAGTGGGGAGGAGGAAGTATTTAGGAATTAGAGGAAAGTTGTATGTTTCATCATTGCTACACTGAACCCTGACTGGCTCGTCTCCTCCGCTCAACCCTTCTGTAAGGGGTTGTCCAGTTGCCTACAGATGGTCTTTGGGTCTCCACTCTGCACACCCCCTCATTCACAATGATAGGATTTTTTGTTCTTTGATGCCAGATACCTGATCCCATCGACACCTTGTGATCACACAGGCTGGTGTGCTTCCTCCATGTGGACTTTTTTGCTTCTCAGCTAGATGGCTGCTTGTTTATTTTTAGGCCTTTAAGACCCCAGACACTACATCTTTTGATAGCCGGGCACCATCAGCTTTCTTCACCACATTTGCTTATGCACCCGCTTTGTCTTCAGCAATCGTGTCAGGAAGGTGAGCATCATGGAATTCGGCACATTTTTTATGCTGAAAAAGCTCCATAATTTTTTGTGGTAAAATTAGGTGCCTCCGCTTATACTTGAGCATATATGGCAATTAAATTCTTCCCTGTATTGTAGCTTTTGTGTGTCTATCACACCTACTTCACCTTCTGTCTCTTGGAGCTGCAGTCTTATTCCGCCCAAAGGGGTGCTGAATAATGTGTATAGTACTCACACTAGGCCTAAGTAAGACCAAGTTTCCTGGCCTCCCCTGAGGGGAGCTCCCAGTTATTACCACTAGATCTCAACACAATCAATTTCCTAGTTTCTACCATAGAAGGATCCTGGTTATAGGTTGAGATCGATTTCCTTAAAAAAAAGGTTTTAATTACTTCTAAGAATATTTCATCCTTACATGTTCAAACATGTAACATCAGAAAATGTATACGAATCTTTCTTATCCAGTAAAAATTAAATGTTCAAGGATCTTTTGACTACTTCATATAAATAAGCCACATGGTTTCTTAATCAGTAAGGTCTAGAGAGAGAGCAGGTTGAACTGTATTGGGAGTGCTAATCATTTCTAGCCATATAACAAACCCGATGACCATTTCTAAAGAGGTTTATTGAACCTGAACATTGAGGACACTGCACCCGAAGGCCAACTGTGGGTCTGGCAGCACCTAAGAATCAACCGGTGGCTCGCTTTCTTTATCCTTCCTTCCTTCCTTTCTTGGCCTCCTTCATTTCTTCTTTTCTGGCTGCTACCAGTCTTTGTCTTTTGTTACTTTGCAGTTTCAAATTGCCTTTGTTTATGAAATGATTCATTAACCAGTTTTATGAAACTGAATTAGAGGATCTTAGACCTTGAATTGGAAATGAGAGAAGCTCTTCCCATGATTTTATTAAGTTGGCTTAAAGCCAGGGGGAGAAAGAATCTCAAGTTCATCCTGACAGCAAACTCAAATGCATTCAGGATTTCCCTCCTAAATTGCTTCCCTGTAAGATCTTTTCTTCCAATTGCACAGAAGTAAGATCTTACAGAAGATTGGGGGAGGTGGGTGGAGAATTGGGGGAAAAATACCTTCAAATACTGCCAGTGTCTCCCAAATGGACTCACATGTACTCATTAGGAGCGCGGGATCTCCCTGGCCCTCTGCTCTAAACGATGTATCTGACTGTCTGCTGATGCTGCTGGCTGCCTCCTGCTTCCTGAGCCATCCCTGCCAGGAGCAGTTTGACCTTTAGCTCTGGGCTTTACTCTAAATCACTGCACTCGCTGCTGAAAGAAACGAAACCCAGATGGGAGAAATACCTCCTTCACCTTCGTGTTCCAAAAGCCTCACTCACCTTTGGAGCAGATGGGGATGAAGAGAAGAGAAAGTAGAATGGTGGGGAGCCGGGTCCTGGGCGCGGGCAGCTGAGCCGCACAGTTGTGGAATCCAACGCAAGCCATGGCTTTGGGAGTCGACTGGGGCTTCAGGAAGTTGAGCGAAACCTTTCAGGATCCTGAAGCTTTGAATGTGTTTGAACCCACACAGAATCAAGGACTTTATATAGTCGGCTTTGATCCCAGGTATGTGCTACACATGTGCACACACAGAAGGTACCTGAATAGATAAGGCTTTTTTGTTTTGGTTTTACGAGAAAGGAAGCCGTGGGTTTAGCAGTTACGTCGAATAGAAAACCTCAACCACTCAAAGTAAGACTGAGCAAAACAAGCCAATCCATGGATGGAAAGTGCACTCAATTTGAAACTGAAGCTTCTTGGGTACTTTGAGGATCTGGATAACTAAGTGGAGACTTGGAGATTTCCCTGGAGGCCAAGAAACCTCTTCAACCCCAGTGGTAGCCAATCAATCACCTTTCCCATCCGATGCACCTCACTGGTGTTCTCCTAACAGCTAAGCTGCTGGCTCTCTGAGTCCTTGAGTTAGTGACAGAATTCATGGCTGGGCATCAGTGAATTCAGCAGAGCACCATCCTTCTATGGTTTGCTTTACAGTCTCAGTCTACTCCTTCTTGTTCTAGCTCTCACTTTGCTGAGAGAAAATGCCCCAAACATAAGAGTGTGGTGTGGCCCTGCCTAAGGAGATTAGGAAAGACTTCGGATACTTTTAAAAGCCTCATCTCAACAGGACCAGGAGAGAGTTGGAGAAGGATAGATTTGCTTTCCAAATCTGAGTATTTCAAAAAGATAATCCAAACTCCAAACTCACTACTATCAAGTAAATGCCAACTCACAGTGACCCTATAGGACATGGTGGAAGTGCCCCTATTGGGTTTCTGAGACTGTAAGTCTGTACGGGAGTAGGAAGCCCTTTCATGTTTCCCACAGAGCAGCTGGTGGTTTTTAACTGCTAACCTTGAAGCTAGGAGCCCCACACATAACCACTACATCACCAAGGCTCTTTCAGTAGATCCAAAGCCAAGGTCAAATATGATTGAAGTTCTTAAATATATGGAAGTTGTGGACAGAATACAATTTCACCTTTTCAAACTGGAATTCCAGCTCAAATGCTGACAAGCAAAAACAACCGAATGTGCATGCACTTACTAAGGACCGGTTTTACACAGGGCACTGGAGATCCGAACAAGGTGTGATCCTGCCCTCAATGGCCGATAACTGGAATTAAAGGACATACAAACCAGGGAAACCACTGGTTCTACCTATGGAATCCAGAGAAGGCTTCTTAGAGGCAGCCAATCCTGAACTGATTACTGAGGATTATTATGGAAGAGGCAAAAGATTCACCAAAAGACATTGCTTAATTCTACCATCCTTGAGTAAAAGCTACCGCTTTCTTGAACCCTGACTCCTGGATACCCCTTGTACAATGAGCTTCCTCATCTTGGGTCATCCTTATCAATTGTGGATTGGACCATTGTGAGCCATAGGATATTTATTGGCTGAATTTCAGAAGTAGATCACCAGGCCTTTCTTCCTAGTTTATTTTCATCTAGAACAGTGGTTCCCAAAGTAGGAGATACTACCCCCTGGGGGTAGCTGAACTGATCCTGAGGACTGATAAAGCAAATGGCCTTAGACGTTTTTAATTACTAGGAGGAAAGGGGTGGGGGCTGAGTGTAAAAATTAAATAAATAAAATTCTGAAAAGGAACCGGTAGGGCAACTAATTTTGGAAACCTAATAAATTTGGCTCTGGACATTCTGCTAAACCTGCTGGGCATCCTAACAACACACCACTGACAGATTAATGACTGAAAGCAGCCATAGACAAGGAGTCAACAAATGGGTGTGGCTGTGCACCAATAAAACTATTTACAAAGCCAGACTGCAAGTTAGATTTAGCCTGTGGGCTATCATTTGCAAACCTTTGGTCTACACAGAGGAAATGACACTGGGAGCAACCAGGATCAGCCCTAGCAGTGAGTCAATAAAGTTTGCATCACTGGATTTTTGGCTGGGTAGGTAATGCCTCCAGGAATAGGTTAAGTGTTTGTTGAGTTCAATCTCATTCAAGCCTCAGAACAATCCTCCAAGACAGGGATTCCCCATGTGAGAAAAGAGGAAGCTGAAGCACCATGGTTACTTATTTAATCGCGTAGTAGGTAGTGGAACCAGGCTTTGAAGCTAAGACTTTGAAGTCAAAGAGAAGTGCATTTGAATCCTACTATGAGGACTCACTGGCTGTTGACTTGGGGCTGAGCACCCTGCATCATGAAGATAGGGATGTTTATTTCCCAGGGCTATTTTAAGGATTAAATGAGATAATGCACGTGACATATGTAAACGACCTAGTATAGTTACTGGTGCCAAATAATAGGAGGTACTTCCAAATGTGCTTGACACAATGGATGGATGGATTGATTGTGATAGGAGTTGTAGGAGCCCCCAGTAAAATGATAAAAAAATAAATAAATAACTAAACAGGAGGTATTTCTGCATCGGGTTGCTGAGAAGATGAAGGTGGGAATAACTGGGATAAGAAACATAGGAAGAATATTGAATATGCTGTGTTGTTTTGTTATTTTAATTTATTTTTTAAATCATTTTATTGGGGGCTTGTACAATTCTTTTCACAATCCATACATATACCCATTGTGTCAAGCACATATGTACATTTGTTGCCATCATCATTCTCAAAACATTTGCCTTCTGCTTGAGCCCTTAATATCGGCTCCTCATTTCCCCCCCTCAACCCCTCATGAACCCTTCATAATTCATAAGTTATTGTTGTTTTGTCATATGTTCCACTGTCCGATGTCTTCCCCCCCACACCCACACCCCCACCCTCTTCTCCGCTGTCCATCCCCCAGGGAGGAGGCTATATGTAGATTCTTGTAATCAGTTCCCCCTTTCTACCCCACATTCCCTCCACCCTCCAGGCATCACCACTCTCACTACTGGTCCTGAAGGGTTCATCTACCCTGGATTCCCTGTGTTTCCAGTTCTTATCTGTACCAGTGTACATCCTCTGGTCTAGCCAGATTTGTAAGGTAGAATTGGGATCATGATAGTGGGGGAGGAAGCATTTAGGAACTAGAGGAAAGTTATATGTTTCATTGTTAATTTATTATTTTTAATTGCCAGTTAGGTGGGGATTTACATTTCAGATCATCAATTTTGTTTTTGTTTTTTAACAGTTTTATTGGCACTTCATCCACATGTCCTATAATTCAATAATTCAGTCATATCAAGCAAAGTTGTACAATCATTTACCACAATCAGTTTTAGAACATTTTCTTCTTCCTTGTACTCATTTTATTCGTGTAATTGCTTTTTTAATTGTAGCAAAACTATACACAACAAAACATTCTCCAATTCAACAACTTCTACATGTATAGTTCAGTGCCATTGATTATACTCTGTGTTGTACAACCATTATTGATATCCTTTTCCAAATTATTCTACCCCATTAACATAAACTCAATGTCCCTTAAGCAAAATCTCTTCCTCCTTCACCCCTGGTAACCATTGGTCAAGTTTGATTTCTTTTCCTTATTCAGTAGTTTTCTTGATGGAGATTTTCAGATGGAGAAACTTGACAGTAAGCACAGGAGATTACTTAACCCACAGGCACAAAATGAGCACTCTGTAAACATTTGTAAAATGAATAAGTTAGTGAAAAGAGTTTAATAAAAGAAGAGATAAGGGGTATAACAACAACTTTTAAAGAAGCCTTACCCCCCCCCAAAAAAAAAAGTCAATTATGATTCCTGGCAACCCTATAGGACAGAGTAGAACTGACACTGTGGGATTCTGAGACTGTAACACTTTACGAAAGTAGAGAGTCTCATCTTTCGCCAGAAGAGTGGCTGGTGGTTTCAAACCGCTGAGCTTGCGGTTCACAGCCCAACACATAACTGCTACACCACCAAAGTCTTACCAGATCCCCTAAATATACTCTTAACAAAACAATGTATGCCATAGAAAAAGAAACTTCCTGGTTATGAAAGCACATATAATTACAAAAGAGAAAAGTAGACACTGTCTTAACCAAATGGCCAAACAGAGTGCCCTCCACCTCCAGATCCCCTGCACTGAAAAGAACACAGCACCACCTCTGTTGTGTCACTGCCCAAGCTGTTCAAACTGACTCTAATGATGAAACTATCATTCTACAAAGCAAACTAGTGTGGGCTCTTCAAAAAGAAGTTAACGCCATTCGAGATGTTTTTTTATTTTGTTTTGTTTTTTAATTTAAGTATGAAAAACCACTAAGGGGATTCAGAATTGACAACGAAATGCAAGGTGGCATTCTTGATTGAAGGGGGAATAAAAAACACGATAAAGTCTTTAGGTAACTTGATGACAAAGTGAGTTACTAGCTAAAAGAATAGCAGTTTGAACCTGCCACATAGTCTAAGGGAGAAAGATGAGGCTGTCTACTCCTTTAAAGATTTCCAGTCTCAGAAACCAAAAGGGGTAGTTCTACCCTCTACGATACGATACGGTCAATATTAGTAGGAATCAACTCAATGGCAAAATGTTTCTGCTTTGACAGAGAAACGTTAATATAGCCTATGTGTTGAATAATAGCATTGCATGGACGTTGTATTTCCTGAGTGTAATAATTACGTTAGGATATGTAGAGGAAAGTCCTTGTTTCCAGACTTAAGCATTTAAAGATAACGTGCCAGGACACCAACAACTCTCAAATCATTCTGTAAAAATGTGTATGGGTGTTTGCATGGAGGTCTAGGTACCATGGAGTTGGTGCTGACCCATAGCAACCCCATGCACAACAGAAGGAACCACCGCATGGTCCGCGCCATCCTCATCCTTGTTCCTACGCCTGAGCCCATTGTGGCAGCACTGTGTCAATCCATCTCATTAAAGGCCTTCCTCTTTTTCGCCGCTGCCCCTCCACTTTGCCATGCTTGATCTCCTTCTCCAGGGACTGGTCTCTCCTGACAATATGTCCAAAGATATAAGATGAAGTCTTGCCATCTTTGCCTCTAAGGAACACTCTGGCCTTGCTTCTTCCAAGAC